GAGAGACAGAGAAGAAGATGAACTCCTGTGTGGAACACAAGACTCTAGTTAGAAGAAGAATCTAAACTTTAAAATTTTCTACTTTGGCCCCGTAAGTTTCTGTTTCTCTGTGTCAGACCCCGAGTTTCTTCATTTATCCTCTTTTTTTTTTCTTGTTTTTCTTTGGTCAATTTGGTCCATGTGTAATCTTCACACCATTTTTCATGTCTCTCTTGTATATAGAAAAAAGTTCTCGGACCATTAATGCAAGAAAAAAAAACAGGATTGTGTTCATTAAGTTTGAAGACAACTTTATATATATAATTAGAGATACTCTCTATATTTATTCTTAATAATTGAAAATTTTATGTTCTTTTGTTATATATTGATGTTCTTTTTTCGAAAATTATATATATTAACCTATAAACTATTGCTGCTAAAAAAAATGCAATTTACTGTAACGATCGTGGAAATTTTAATTTCAATGTTTACATAAAATGTTGAATTGTTTTTGTTTTTAGAATTCACAGTTACCCAAAATTTCATCAAATGGTGGATATATGTGTATATATAGTTAAAACAAAAAGATTCATTAATTAAAACATTCTTATCTTTTTATCCAAATGGATTAGCGATGTCAAACGAGCCAGCTCGGACCAACTCGTTTCGAACCAGCTCATTTCAACCCTGTTCATTAAGCCCGTTTTTATTTGGGCCAGAAAATTCCTAATTCAGTCCAAGTCGCTTAACTCGCGAGCCGACTCTCGAGCCGGTTCATATTTTTCTAAATACCTAAAAAAAATCATATCAAATTATATAAAATATACATCAACATAAAAAGAATATATCAATACATCCAAATTATACTTATATTCACAATCATAATCCATATACAAAAAATCATCTTCAAATAGATAAAATCACAATCCATCCATGTACAAAAAACCATTTTCAGATTCTAATCCATCCATGTACGATCAGATCCTAATCCATGTACAAAAAACCATCTTCAGATCCGAATCCATACATACAAAATTATTTCCAATACAAAATATCATACCGAACAATATCAACACTTTCAAATTTCAACGTAAGAATTTTTTTTACTTCAACTCTCGAGCCCGCTCGTTCGTGGCAAGTTGGCTCACTGAACCCTTTTATTTGGGTTCAGATATTCTTGGCTCGGCTCGGTAAAAAACTAACCTAAATCGACTCACTTTTGAGTCAAATTATATGTTTCCATGTGACTAATTATACTATATATACATATATATAGCGCAGGTGTTTAATATTATTAATAATGTAACATATGAAAAAATGCATTGAATTGTGAACAAAGTTGTACATGAAGTACAGAAAAAATCGAGTAACTAAAATTAAACTCTTGCATGCACTAATCAATCAATGAACATATGCAATCAATAAGAAATTAAAAAAAAAAATTGCAATTTGCTTAGCCACCAAATACGAAGAGATCATCAAAATGCTCATTTAACTCCAACAATGGCGTCATCGTCACCATTGAATAAGATGACAATCAATTTGTAAACCTCTATCTCCATCAGAGGCTAAAAAAAATCCAACAATATGTATGAAGATACTGTACATGATGATTCAATCACGGTAACCAATCAAGAATCATTTTCTTTTCTGAAATGGTCTTGAGAATGAGGACGTGGCTGATGATGAGGAACAGGAGTTATGTCATTGGAGAAGGGAAGACCGGTCGGATCGGTCGCCGGGAGAAAGATCGGCGGCATGGGTTCCGGTAACAGAATCGCTGGATACTGTTGTTCTTGTTGATGATGAAAAACCTCCATCCCTTCCAAAAACCCTAATTCGTTGTTAGATTGATTCCTGATCAGAAAAGAAGACGACGAAGATATCGAACCATCATTAAACTGCGTCGTTTCACTAGGCGCCATCGTTGGAATAGCAGAGGTAAAAGAAGAAGAAGAAGAAGAAGACGAAGACGTCGTTTCTGTGGACGGGGGTTTGCCAGTGAGACGTTGAACCAATGCCTTGAAGTCGCTAGGGTTTGTGTGGATGATCTTTGGCGACAACTCGTATCTAATCAACGGAGATCTCGGCGGCCGAGTAGATTTTCGGCGGTGGTGCGGCGGCGGCGGCGGAGGCGGCGGAGGAGGAGCTTCTTGGCGGTGGTGGTGAGGCGGAGGCGACGGAGGTGGTGCTTGGTGGTGGTGGTGCGGCGGAGGAGGAGAAGCTTCTTGGAGGTGGTGGTGGTGCGGCGAAGGAGCTCCTAGGTAGTGGTGTTGCGGTGGAGGAGTTTCTCGGTAGTCGTTCTGCGGCAGAGGAGGATAAGCTTCTTGGCGGTGGTGGTGGTGGTGCGACGGAAGAAGAGGAAGAAGAACTTCTTGGCGGTGGTAGTGTGGCAGCGGCGGCGGAGGAGGAAGAAGAACTTCTTGGTGGTGGTGGTGCGGCGGAGTAGGAAGAACTTGTTGGTGGTAGTGCGGCGGCGGCGGAGGAAGAACTTCCTGGTGGTGGTGGTGGTGGTGCAGCGGCGGAGGAAGAGGAGAAGCTTCTCGGAGGTGGTGGTGGTGCGACGGCGCAAGCGGTGGTTTCTGGATCTTGTGAGAATCTTTTCTGATTCTCAACGGACCAAGATTATCTCTTGATCTATTCGCGGGAGAATTCTCCGATGGGTCCATCTCAAGAATCTACCGTACATAATAATGTATGGTAATTTGGGCTTTATATATTTATATAAATTAATGGGAATATCCAAAAATAATACCTCAACTTTTTCAATTTTCACAAAATAAAATCTAAACTTTGTTTTTTATCAAATAAAACCTCAACTTCATTTTTCAGTCAATGATAAACCTGAACTTTATAATTTTTGTCATTTTTAACTCTATTGCTGACGTGGCGTTACGACATCCTACGTGACAAATCAATACTTTGACCGTATTTGACACATCATGGTTGACATGTCACGATATCAGAACGTCATATCAACAATATGGTTAAAAATGATAAAGATTATAAAGTGCAGGGTTATTTTTTACTGAAAAATGAAGGTGAAATTTTATTTGATAAAAAACAAAGTTTAAGTTTTATTTTTTTAACTATTCGGTTGCCTTTTCATGTACTAATATATATATATGAAACACTCCCGTGAATACATTAATATTGGTAGTGGTGGCGTAAACATCCAAATTAAAGAAAGGCATATAAATAAACCTTGTGGATAAAAAACCCTAAGCAAACAAAACAAGGCTTATCGAGCCGGGTCAAATTATATGGTCACCATCATCTTGATAAAAGGAATCTATGGACTATTTATTATCCTTAAAGATATCTAATATATATTCTTTCCCATTATTTGAGGAGGGGTATTCATTTTCGAGAGATTTAGTTGGATCAAAAATTCCGGTAATTGACACATCCATTGGCAAAAACTAATATTCTAACTCACGTGGTTAATCCGGAAACGTGTTTTGTATTTCGTACTCGTTAAAAATACACACAAAAAAAGAAGAAGAGAAAAATAGAGAGAGAGAGAGAGCTGAGTCCAACAATGTGGGAAGTCAAGAAGACACGGAAACATGGGAAAAGTCAAGGTGTTGAAGTTGCGGATCGTGAAGGTTCAACCCCAGGGCCCTGAAGACGAGTTCAATATTCCGCCAGAAAGCTATTTGAAAGTCTTTCGCAAAACCTCAGGAGTCGCTATTTGCTTGACGAGTTAACACGTAATTTAGGTTAAATTCTGAATGAATTTATGCATTAATTAAAAATTCCGAATAAATGGGCGTAAAACCCAACCAGACATTGTTATTTCCGGGGATGAGCTTACGAATACAACAAGTAAACAAAAGAAAAGAGTAGTAATGAATAATGATTATTCATTTCTTGGGTCTATCATCTTTTGTCTTGGAGGCAAGAAGGTCAAGAAGCATTTGAAGTCCTCCTCCTCCTCCACCTCTGCCTTGCATCTTCTGCAGCAACCCTGTTTATATATATATACATATATACACATTTTCAAAACCCAATCGGCCATTTTCCTCTACCCAAAACTTTGTTTAAAAAAAAAAACACAATCCGTGATAGGGATATGAATGAAACTCAGACGGGTGAGAACCCTTTGTTTATTACTTACTCTTCCTTCAATTATAATACCGAAAAAGCTATAAGCATATTTTTGTCTGAACCCATGTCTAATAACATCTAGTTATGATCAATATGCATGGAAACGCTAATAGTCAAGAGTGATGATCATTAACATACCATCAGCCGCCATGGGAAAGTTGTCGAACATTGAACTGGCTCCCTTGAGTACTTTCTGATGGAATAATATGAAACGAAACTAATGTGATAAACATTTAACATCCATGATCGTATATGTATGATAACAAGTGTGCACGTTATAATTCCTTAATTACCAGAACCAACTCCCCAGGCTTCACCGGAAGTTCCTCCAGTCCAATAATTTTCCTGCACAAAGGGTAGTAAGTTTTTCATGATGGCACATCCGGATTAAGAGTCTTCACTACCAGAAAATAGTAATCTAAATCACAAGACCTGATGAAGAGCTTTCCTTGATTTGGTTCGCACTCGAAGAAAAAGCAGCAGGTGGTGAAGGGTATCTCTTTCGTTTTCCATTCTGCAGAAATCCGACCGTTTGGATTCGAAGGTATATTAAAAAGCATTATCTATCAATTTGGAAGCCTACACCAAAATCAAATATGTTCTCTTGTAAGCTAAGAAATACCTATCCAACATACCTAGATGCCATGACACAGTAGCAGTGAACTTCTCCTGTTCTGTCAATGTGTCAATGGCAAAACGAACATTTGGTCCCATCGCATCCATCACGTCGGTGAGGAAGTTTATAACATTCTGCATATCGCCAATTAATAAAAGTCTTATCAAATTATTGCAAACTCTACAAACCAACGTGGAAGAAAAGATAATTGGCAGATTTCAAATAAGGGACACTATCTTTCAGTAACTAGAAAATAATTAAAATAAACCTGTTTTCCACCAAAGGGCATGTAGAAGATGAGGTCCATAAATAAACAATCTTCTGCAAGAAGGAGGTTTAGTTTCTTCACATCCTTGGCATTCATGGCACTGCAGAAGTCCCGAATTAAATCGGATGTTGGGTATGGTGGCATCACTTCAGGAGTTGTCTCAAACAAACCACCATTGTTGTTCCTGCAAACCAGCTTCCGTGGCTTGCCTCCTTTAGCCCTTTTACCTGCATTTACTTCCTTTTGTCTCCACAGCGGTGGATGTGAACATATGGGACTAGAAAGCTGTTTTCGGAAAAGCGAGTTGTCAGAAGAATTATCATGGCAATGCAATGAAACAGAGAACGAGTAACTGTTTTTCCCAGGGTACAGCAAAGTGCCTACGGGAATTTTGATTGGATAAGCCATAGAAAGTTAAGGCTGAAATGACAAATATGAGTTGCATATTTATGGAACATTTCAGGCCTGTTTAACTCTTAGAACATTGCTGGTTAGACAAGGAATGAATCACATTTTAAGGGCCAAGGGAAGCAAGGTAATATAAGACAGTCTTACTTTACAGAAAATAGAGCATCTACACTTTCTCGTATGCCTTATAAGGATGTTACTTCTTACAAGAGAAAGGAATAAGATCATTTCCAGGAGGAAAAATGAATTTTGTTTAGTCCGATATAGAAAGATAAAAGGTATAAGTTTGTGTTGTTTAGAAACTCTATTATTTTCTTTTTAAGATGTCCAAAAGTGTTTTCACTAGAGGAGCACCAAGAAGAAATGATAACTTCGTACAATGAATGGCATGACTGAACACATGTTGCGAATAATAAGCTTATTGGCATCACTTCCCTCAAGTATGTTACAAGTAACAACAGAAAACAAACCTTTCTGTGACACGTTCATTATCGCTGGACCGAGAAACATCAAACAGACTGTGATACACCAGCTCAAATGGCCTACAGCCGTCCTGTGCCAAAATCGAACAATATACATGTGAGGGAAGAAGAAACCGAGGAGTTAAGGGTTTCCAAACATAGACAGATTGTATTGCAGCAGCAAAGGGGCCCGTGATGTAACTCTTAGAACTAGCCTACAGGAAGATAAACATCTGCTTGTGTTCAAGCATATGCTAATATGACTGGAACAGCTTACTATCATCTTTCAGCAATTAAACGGACACGATTTCACAGGACAAACAAGAGGGCGTGCATTGCTTCTACTTCCATTTTCTGTCAAAGAAATTTGTCATATCTGAAAGGACAGAAAGATCAGGACTTTTCTACCTTCCTGAATGAGAAAAATTCCAGAGCACAGACAGATCCAAATTCTCTTGCAGCCTCTTGTAACTGAAGTGAAAACTCTATCAGAAAATAAGCATCATCTACAGATAATGTCCAAGAAGAACGCAGTTATAAACAAGGAAATAAGTACTTGAAAACTCTTGCGGCTTCTGCCATGAAACGGAGATTCGTTTGGGACAGTCATATAACATCACATTGTTAAGAAGAAATTTGCATCTGGACATACTCACCCACACAAAATCATAGCCAATTACACAAATTTCAACAGAGTTAGGGCAATAAGAACGGTCATCATTGGCCGGAGATCTATGAGCCTATATACACAAACACATATATGAACTTGCATTTGCATATACGAGCTTACCTCATAATGTGGAGATACTCCTCAGTTTACTCTACGCACGCGACTCGGATCCGGCGGCACGAATTGTGACGAGCCTCGACGCAGGTGCATCGCGTCTCAGCCGCAGCGGATAGAAACCCACCGACGTCGGAGGATCGAAGAACGAGAGTCACCGGCCGAAGATTGCTAACGTGCGCTCACCGTACGCCATGTCAGTCACGGCGGTAACGGCGGCCAACATCGTCTCCGCTGGTCCGTCCTTCTGGAGAGGATTCCGACGCTTAGATGGATGCCGGAAGGAAAAAGTGGACACGCGTCGATTTTCAGTAAAGTGGTAGAAGGTGTAATTTCACTAGAAATTGCAGGTTGTTCTGTAGGTCGATGACACGTGTCGGTTTCTCGATACAGTGGCACAAGCCGTAATTTCACTCAAAATAAAGAGTTAATTCGGTTGGACGGAAATTTATGTAATGGGCGGAATTACAAATTTAGCCCAAACTTAAACTATCGTCACGACATTCATGATCCCTCACGACATCCAAGATAGAACTATAACCTGTTTTAAATATAAAATCAAATTAAACGAATTTATAAAAAAAAAGAAGATTTCTTTAGAAAAGAAATACGTTTTAATTAAAACTAAATCTAAACGGAATTCATATATTTTTGGAATTAATATAAAATATTATTTTTAATAATAAAACAATAAACTTAAAATGTAATGAAGATGATTATACCACTCGACGATAATCAGTGGCCCTATAAAATATGTTTATGTATTGATAGCTAGTTCATAATTTGACAAAAAATAAAGAATAAGAAAAATGATATTGAAACCGGACATATAAATTAGAAAGGAATAAATGATAACGTAATGTCTTATCTTAAGTCCCATTAAAAAACGCCATTGAAATTTGAAACAAACCAAACATTTTATTATTTATTATGGTTGATGATGATAATAATAATATATATATATTGCTTCAAGTGATGTTAGAGGTGATGCAAGCTTTTGCTATCAACTTGGAATTATATGTATCGTATGTGAGTCATTCGCTACCAATTTATGGGTATTCCACCCAATAATTTTAAAATATTTTATTTTGTTTTTAAATAAAATTTTTAAGTTAATAATATTTTATTAAGTCTTTAAAATCATATGTTTTTTTCATACATGATGTGTTAAAAACTTTTATTCAACTTATTAAAAAAATGAATATATATATGTATATATATATGTGTGTGTGTTGCAATGTATTTGGAAATATTTCTATGTTAATTATTTGTTTTCCTCTGAGGGAATTAATAAAATTGGATTAACCCGTATTTTAAGGTTTAATTATATCAGGATTAAAGTTGTCCAATGTATAATGGACATGATGTTTGTTTGTGGGAATAAGCATCCAATGAAATAAAATGTTGGGAAGAAGATTCTTTTTCTTACATCCTTGCATGCCTCTATACGACCTCATGGAGCCTTGAGTCTTGACCCATCAAATTTTTATTTTCCTTTTTTTTTCAATAGTAAATTCGACTTTCCAATAATGTATGAGAATAATACGGTATTTTAATTCCGATCATCCATTTGAATTTTATTTTTAAATCTTGTCTTTATAATGGTCGGTTTGACTCTCAAAACGAAAACCAATTTCAGTGGACTATATTTAATTTACATCAATTCTATACTATGATAATTATTTTTGTGAGATGTTTTGAAGGGACATTGGCATTTTTTATAACTATTTTTTTTTTATCAATTTAAATTTTTTTTGAAAAACAAGATTAATTCGTCCTGTGAGATAGAATAAAATTTTGAATCAGAAAAAATTTAGAAATGTGAAAATTTGACAAATTACGAATTCTATAAATTATTGGTAATAGTATTTGAAAGAAGATAATTTAAGATACTGGATATTATACTTCATATACTCATTTAGTTTTAGATATAAACAAGTCGGACAGATTTAAATATTAAAAATATATAGGATAAGTTTGAATATTTTTTGTGTTCTGATTTGATTTTAGGGATTTCAAGACTTATTTCTCTTTTGTAGTTGATAAGAAATAATATTAGTGAGTCTGATCAACTAATTAATAACTGAATAAGTTTGCATAAAAAAAATAAACAATTGGTATTTAAACATATAATATAAAAACCACAAATAAGTACACAGAAATCATTTGGTTAAATATTAAAACTGCAAAAAAAAAAATCATCCCATCAAGGTCAAACACTAAGTCACCATCATCTTGATTAGGGAATCTATGAAATATAAATACGGTTACATATGGTTATGATATTTATAATAATTTATTTATAAACACACATTATCTCACACAATGAGGGATTATGTAGTTCTCCCAAGTTTCCTTCTCTAAGTGTAAATTAACAACCAAAAAAATTATCACCTTCCAATAAGAAAATATTTATTATATATGCATAGAAAAAGTTGAAATTCCTTTTTATTATTTTCTCTCCTTGAGAAAACATAAATTAAAATAACACCAAATTGATAAAAAAAAAGTCAAACCCAGTTTTTTTTTTTTTTTTTTTTTTGCGGCTACAAATATATACATGACAGAGACACTCAAACAATAGACTTAGTTGAAAGAAGAAGAAGAAGAGACAGAACCGCAGGGGGGCGAGCATGAAGAGGAAGAGATGCGAAATGATGGAGAAGAAGAAGAAGAAGAAGACAGAGATAAGATCCGCCATTGAAGAGCTCTCTGTTCTCATCATAACCAAATCTCCGGATGATTCGGAAGCCATCAACATACCCTTAAAACCTCTTCTCTCTTTCTGCAACTTGATCATACAAGTTCTTGGTCTGCATAAATTTGTTCTTCTTCTTAATCTTCTGATGATGATTATTTCTCTGTTTGTTGATTAATTAACCAAAGAACAAGAGAATAAGAATTCCCATGTCTTTATCTTGAAGATAAGATCACTGTTTTGGTCATCACGGGTTCACTGTTTTGTTGTGCTTTGTAGATAAGATTGGACCGACAATGGCTGTTCTCCGACAAGATATCGATCAAAATATCCAGGTAAAGATAATCAATTAGCATTAAACAATTTTTTTTCCCTATTTTTATTGTCATAATTAGCATTGTCGAAGTCCATTAATTAAACATGATACTCTCTCTCTCTATATATATATATATGTATATATGTTACGAAATACCAAGGAACAACTATAGAAATTTCCTTTTACTAGTCCATGCCGATATATTATAAAAATTCGCAAAATTATTTATGAAAATTATGTTTTATTACGATGAATTCCGTCGTTATTTCTCCATTCTGTTGGTAATATGTAATGATCGATATAATATTAGTATATGTGTGTGTTAATGCTATACCTAATATTAATCTTATAAAGGTAACGCTACTTTATATTTTGAAGGAGACACCCAATAATTTCACCTTTTAGTCTCTTTTTTCATTGGCAGTTTTGTCAATTCATAGAAGAATTTGTATGTAAAAATGGATGGACCTTGTTTTTCTTTGCTTCATTTTTTCTTCTAATTATTATTATTTTTATGTGTACATATATTTAAATTCATCTCTTTTTTTTTTTGTTCGTAGAAATTAGAGAAGCTATGTGAATCTAATCCTCATTGTGTTCATGCCAATTTGGTCGAGATTCTGAAAAAGGAAGGAGAAGAAGGGGTTTCCAAGATGAGTAATAGCTGCAGTAGAGCAGTTCTTTGGCTCACTAGGTAACAATCCCAATTCAATATTCTTCACGTTATATATAGAACATATATATATATATATATGTGATCGTTTCTTGAATGTATACATTATATTAGAATATCTGCATATTCCTTATAACTTAATTAGGAGGGTTTTAGTATAATATTGTTTCTGTAACGTTCCAAAGCTAATATTTGTAAATATAAATGCGGATCACCAATGATGATATAAGTGTCCATTATATCTATGTATTCAAACATTGAATATAGACACCTAGAATCTTCGTAGAAATATTTCTCTGCTTCTATTTTAATATATATGCGGAATGGGTTTTTTTTGGTGAAAAATGAATATTTGTTTGCGTATAGAACAATGGATTTTACGACGGCGTTATTGCAAAGACTGTCGGAAGATGTGTCACGGAACATAGAAGAAGCCGTAGAAGAATGCTACATCGCGACTTTGAAGCCATGGCATGGATGGATCTCTTCCGCTGCTTTCAAAGTATAATCTTGAAATTGCATCAAATATTATTTTCATTTTCTTTTAAATTTATATATACCGTACAAAACATGTATTTGCGCGTACCTTCTCTATATTTTATATTCGTCTATTTTTTTAAAATATTTATAATCCCGATTTCGTAGGTGGCGTTGAGGCTCGTACCGGATAACAAAACGCTAATGAGCGCGATTGCAGAGGACGAGAGCCTTGAAGAGCTCAAAGAAGACATGGAAACCCTAGTTTCGTTACTCGAACCAATCCTAAGAGACATCCATTCGGTTCTGGTAAGGACCAACAAACAAATTAATTCATCATTTTTTTTGTACATTATTCTCTTTTTAATATTGTTTTTGATAATTTTATAAACATTTCGTTTTTATTCAGGAGCGATACGAGTTGAACAGGATAAGATCAACATGAGAGACTGATAGGAAGAAAAGATTTGACACGTCATAAAATTATATAATTATATAGTTTTAATTGTATAGTTTCTTTTTTCTTTTTTCTTATTCTAATTTAATTGTATCTTCTTTTTCATGTGATTTTGTGTGTGTGTGTGTGTGTATATATATATATATATATATTGATAGAACTTAAAAAGATAATAATAGACAAATAAAAACCTTATGTATAGCAAAAGCAATTTTCCAAAACGATACTAAAACCAGAAATATCTCATAACATAAAGTATATATTAAGCTATTGAGCTTAACAAATATATAATTAGTTTATAGATGATAAAATTAATTGATCCCATCTAACAACGATAAGAGTTTACATGATCTTAATTTATCTCTTAAAATACATGATTTTCCATATAAATTACAGAAAATATAGAAGAGGGGTTATATATATATACACATATACATATTGTAGAGAAAATTATTGGATAAAGGAAAAGAAAGAGATTTAATTTTGGTATGATATTACATATTATATGTATTTGATCCCTCTCCGATTCGTTCCGATTCGACTCTCGTTTGACCAGAACGAGAATTGTCCCTCCGCGTTTTCAAAACTTCGGCTTCTTCCAACTTCAAGAGACTCTACTTCTCTTAGAGGTTTTGCTGAATACAACCAACAAATGATATACTAATTCGACTTTTCTATAATTATTTGGACGTTTTCTTATTAACGTGTCACATCTTATCCTCAATTGATAAATTTATTTACGGGAAGGTAATAAGTAATTATATATTTACAGAAGTTTTGAGCACTCACACAATGGAAAAAGCATCTTAAATCCGTCACTATTCGTTATATAAGATTAATTAATCACTTAGTTATTCTTCAATATTATAAACTGCAACCTTCTTGTTATTTGGAAAAAACAATTACAACTCTACATCATTAATGCATTAGATTAGTTAGCAGGTATTCTAATTTTGTCATATTCATGGGTGTCTATATTCTATATAAGATAAGACCTTTGGAATATATATGTCATATGATTTTAAATGTAAACCATTTTGAACCACTTGATTGATGAAAACGTCTTTATCGTACCAAATGTTTTGGTTTAAAAATTTAGCCAGATAGAGTTGAGAACGGCCACATCTCCATAAATTAGTACATAATATTTACTTTAAAAGTATAATTGTTATATAATTACATGTCAGTTCTATCCGGAAGTAAATTAAAATGTAAGAATCTTTTGAGTATTCACACTACGGGGTGGAGAAGCAATTTGGCATCTAGTTACAGATGAGCCAGTAATTAGTTTCTTAATTAAATCAATCTAATTTTTTATTGGTCATAATTTTATAATATTCATAATCCAGTATACTTCCTTTAAATATAAAAATAATGTAAAATAAAGATAGAATAAACCGTACCTTCTATTTATGTCGTTAGGTGTTCTATTTGTATCATGTGGATAGATGTCTACAAAGACCCTATGGATAGGGTCACTTGGATCGGGCATTGTACTATTGAAAATATTACAAATAATATCAATATAATATATTGATAATTTTGATAATATATGTAATTATATTGAAAAAAGGTAAAAAATAAATATATAATAATATAGTTTTAAAAATAAAATAAAACAGATTTTAAGTTACGAAACAGAATCGTTATTTAATACAATAAAGGAAAATGAAAAATAAAAATCATGTATAGAAAAATATTATAAATGAAACCTTATATCATTAACTAATATATATATATATGGGGAAAACAAGAACTGAAAGGAAAATAAGATGAAGTAAAAGGAAAATAAAAAATGAAAGGAAAAAAAAAAGAGAGTAAAAAGTATAAGAAATGTATAAAAAAAACTAGTTTTTTTTTCTTTGACCTATTTTTAAATTTTTTGTATTTCGATTTATTCCGCTAAAAATAAAATGATGTATGCTTCCTGTGCGTGGTCAGTCTTTGGCTAATATTTATACGTATACAGCATAAATTTAATAAGAAATGCATAATGTTACGGTGATAATGATTAGATTCATGAATCGGGCTATAAAAATTTGGGAGTTGAAAATTTAAATCGTAGAGTAAAATAGGAAACTGATTAAAGATTCCCTCAAATAATGTGTAGGTTCATCCGCTATCCACCGGCATGTTTGATGGATTCCGTACAAAGTGCATTTATGGTACCAAGAATGCCCTTTTTCACTAAACAATAATAAAAACAAATAATCATCATGTCTTTTTTTTTTTTCATTTTGACGTTGAGTTTTAAAATATTTACGCCTAACATTTGGAGTTCTCCTTGTTATTTGGAGAATCTGTTTTTGTTATTTAATATATTCCATATATAATTTGTATGGAATTTTTAAGAAGTAATTTAAGAATAATTTGTATATGTTATTTAATAATCTCAAGAATACAACTGCCCCACTTTCTCCATGTATAACACAACACACAAAACGACATGCCGACACGTGTACACAGATATATATATATATATATATATATATATATATATAGGTGTGTGCGTATACGCGTACTTGTGTTTAATTTATATGAATACATTAATATTGGTAGTGGTGGCGTAAACATCCAAATTAAAGAAAGGCATATAAATAAACCTTGTGGATAAAAAACCCTAAGCAAACAAAACAAGGCTTATCGAGCCGGGTCAAATTATATGGTCACCATCATCTTGATAAAAGGAATCTATGGACTATTTATTATCCTTAAAGATATCTAATATATATATATGTATGTATGTATGTATGTATGTACGCTCTTATTCACACACACACATATATTGTATATATCCTTGTGGGTGTCATTGAGTTTCAGACAGCGGAGGTATTAATACCGCTGTCATGTTCCATTTTTCTCTCCCTCCTAAATCCCTAATCCCATCAAATATAATAAATTGGTCCTTTCCGTATTTCTTGTTTACATAAGGCATATACACACAAATATACGTGTGTATATATACTTGAGAAGATGAAAAGAAAGAGGTGTGAGATGGAGAAGAAGACAGAAATAAGATCCGCCATTGAAGAGCTCTCTGTTCTCATCATAACGAAATCGGGAGATAACATGGAAGCCATCAACATACCCTTAAAGCCTCTTCTCTCTTTCTGCAACTCAGTCATCCAATTTCTTGGTCTGTATCATCTAATAGTTTACCCTATATTTATGGTGTGTGTGTATATACATATCTATATCATTCTCGGTTCCCAAAAAAAGCAAGTTATATATATATATATATATATATGATGTTTTCGAATCTCATTGTGTTCAACGCATAACTCGAGTGATGTCGTTCACTACAGATAAGATTGGACCGACAATGGCTGTTCTCCGACAAGACATTGATCAAAACATTAAGTTAAATCAAAGATAAATATAATCTGTAACCATATATATTATATATACACACACAATACAGTATAGGACAAACAATTAGCACGAAACATGTGTGTGTATATATATATATATATATATATATTGTATATCGTTGTCCAATAATTTCAATTCTTGGATACACTCGACTGGACTCATGTTGCATGGACCCTCTCCAGTCACCTTTGGTTGCTGTCAAGGGCATTTTCGTGAACCTCTAAAATGGGCGGACCATGGTTTTCCCCCTCTTTTATTTCATATTTCATTATTAAACTTTGCTTTAAATATTTTGGTGTAGAGAATAGAGAAGCTTTGCGAATCTGATCCTCGTGTCTACTCCAATCTGGTTGAGATTCTCAAGAAGGAGAAAGAAGATGGAGTTTCCAAGAAGGCTGATAGTTGCAGCAGGTCAATTCTTTGGCTCACAAGGTATTTTATTTCATAAATATATATTCTTATGTCTATTAAGTTGTTTTTTTATATATAATCGATCGGTTTTAAACTATTTTTAGACGTTCAATTAACTTTAAAAAATTTAAATTATTAACAAACGATTTTTTTTTGTTGTATATTTAGAACCATGGATTTCACTGCGGCGTTATTGCAAAGATTGGCAAATGATACGTCACATAACATGGAACAAGCCATCGAGGAATGCTACGTTGCAACTTTGAAGCCATGGCATGGATGGATCTCTTCTGCTGCTTTCAGAGTAAAATTGAAATACAAATCATATGCTATAACATTTTTTTAAATAATTTTTTTTTGTTATAATTGTGGGTTTGGTCGGTCGAATCAGGTGGCTCTCAAACTCGTACCAGATCGCAACACATTCATCAACGCCTTGTCCGCAAAAGACGAGGGCTTCGAGTTCGAGACTCTCCAAGCGGACATGGCAACTCTAACTTCATTCCTCGTACCTGTTCTGCAAGACATCCATTCTGTCTTGGTATAAATATGCTTTTTTAAATCACTTAATTATTATACAACCCACAAAATTTTGTTGTATAATATGTGGTATAACGTATGTTTCTTCGCGTTTTTTTTTTTGCAGGAATTATACGATTTGGACCGACTGAAATCGACGTGAGAGTCAAAACTGCATGAAATGAAAATCTAATATTGTATTTGTTATAGAACTAATTACTTACTGTACAGTTTCTTTCCAATGGGTTGATTTAATTTATTTATTTTCATTGTGAAATTGCAAGTATTATATGTATGTATGTACACACATGGTCATGACTATCATATGTAAAAGTATTCGTGTATGCATGTCACATAAAATTGTATTCATACATCTGACTATATATGTATATTCAATTTCCTCATATTATATATGTATAAACACGACTTTCTTCGATTTTGTTCCATAAAATTTATTTATTTTTTACTCGAATCATTAAAAACATTATGTATTGTAGAAAAAAAAAAGTCATGGCCCTCAAAAGTTAAAACTAAGATTTAAATATAACCTAGTTCCAAATATGGCTGTTTTTTTTTTCAAATCATTGCCATGAATTATAAGAGAAACTAAATCACATTGTAAAAATAATCATAAGATGGCCATTGAATTAGCAAATATGGAAATCCATGACATTTCATGGACCGTTATGTGGATCTGGGCTTTATACATCATGAGTCCATCATGGTTCTTCTTCTCCGTCCCTTCCTCGGTCGCGCCAACGACAACTTCTGAGGTTTCTCGATGATCTAATTCGTGTTATTTGTCCGTAAAGCTTGGATCTTTCCCTTTTTTTTTTCCTCTTGATTCAAATCTCCATTTTCGATTCCAGTGTCCTGTTTCTCGTACGGAGAACTCAGGAATTCTCCGGGGAAATTGCAGAAGTTCTGTTCTGGTGAGTTCGTCGTTTCTTCCTTTCTTTTCTCCCGCCTCGATTCGGGTAATTCTCTTCTGGGCAGTTTCGAATTTCCTTTCATGGATCATGAGATTTGATCTATGTGACGCGGGTTCGATTGAAGGCTGCGTTTTTATGCTAATTCAGACCGGAGACTTTGATGATCCTGAGTCCTGATCTCCGTAAATCTGATCTGGGTATGCTTAATCACCCTCATTGTCGGTGTCGGAGCCTCGATTCGATTGTAGAATGAATAATTATCCATTTGGGTCGACTAGCTCTAAGGCATTCCATGCATACCCAAGTAGTGATTTCGATTTAGAGTCGGGGGCTTTGAGGAGATCCAGAAAGTCGAAGAATTCACTCGTCAAAATGATCAAATCCCTAGGAAATCGTCTTCACTACTACTTCAAGCTGCATCCAGTCGTCGTTTTCATCATTCTACTCTCGTTTGGGATCACAGCCCTCATATTTCTGTCAGTATACGAGAACAATTACCGGTCAATGGGCAATTACAGGAAGCTAGATTTGGATTCTGATGGCTACCCATTTGCCAATCTGAGAAACCTCGTGATGGTTGCTGGGCATTCCGTCTATACGAGCAGCAGTTGCGGTAAAGTAGATAAGGAGGATTCATGGTTCTTGGAATCGTATCAGAGGAATCCGGGTCAGGCTGCTACATTTGTGACTCATATCCAAGAGGGGGTCGAATCTGCGGCTAAAGACGATGAGTCTCTTCTTCTTTTCAGCGGTGGAGAGACTCGGAAAGAGGCTGGCCCTCGCAGCGAGGCTCAGAGTTATTGGGCTGTTGCTGAATCCAAAGGATGGTTTGGTGAGTGAGTTGATCAATCCATCTATCTATATATATATGCGCTCTGTGTTAGTTTCTGGTTGTGAAGCATCGGATCTTGATGGTGTTGTGATGAATTGCAGGCAGGGATGAGGTGAGATCACGGGCATTGACTGAAGAACACGCCAGAGATAGTTTCGAGAATCTTCTTTTCAGTGTTTGCAGATTCAGAGAGCTTACAGGCTCATATCCTCATAACATAACAGTAAGCTTTTCTGTATTCTTCTTCCTCGGTGCCCCGGATTTTGCTGGTTGAAAAAAAAAAGTTCCTTTCCATGTTTCTAATCATAATTGTGTAAAAGGTAGAGATAGGATAGGCAACACACTGGTTTCCAGATCTAATGGAAGTATTGACTCGCTCATATCACTGTGTTATCGGATCAGGTTGTGAGTTATGATTTTAAGGAGGAAAGGTTTGCGAATTTGCACCGTTCAGCAATCGGGTTTCCAGATACGAGATTTTTTTACTCGGGCACCCCATCATCCCCGACATCCAAAGACGCTGCTTTGAAGGGCGAGGCTATGGTTAGAGCTCAGTTTCAAGAAGACCCGTATGGATGTATAGGTTCACTTTCGCGTAAGAAGTTGAAGCGTGATCCGTTCCACAGGACAATACCTTACCCGAAAGGTTGCCCTGAAATCGAAGGGCTGTTCAGGTACTGTGGTTCTGCTCCTTATCCAGGCTCTCTCCCATGGGTTTGAATATCAACAAATCCACTCTAGACAACGTTATAGAAACCGATTTTTTTAAAGACAGTTTTGTTGTGTTGAGTTCTTGTCTGGTTACTAGTTAATAGCTCTGAGAATGTACTGAGGTATTGAGGCTTAGATGAAACAGAACCAAAGACTTGACTTATAGTTTTTGTACTGTTGACATTGGGAATCCAACTTGTATCAATGCAAGTTTACATGAATAAATTATGTTCATTTCTAGCCATCAGATAAATAATGCAGATGATTTCCCATTTTTTCTTTGAAGTAATCAGATAAGATCCTTGGATAATCAAACATCAACTTGAAGCAAATCAAGAACACTGATGATATGATGTATAAGTCAATAGAAAGAGGGATAGACTTTGATAGCATCATATCATCAACCGTCAAAACTGCTTTAAGGAAGAAGATTCATGGAACCTAATAAGACAATTCAAGGCCAGTTTCAACTATTGGTGGTTCCGAGCTTGACTGCTGCTCAGTTTCAAGAAGACTCAAAGATTTGGAGGTACTTCCATGGGGTTTCCACAGGGAAAAAGACTACTCTTCCTGTCACTGTTTTAACTGCAGAGACCCAACTGCGTCAACGGTCTGAAACAGACAAACCCTTTTGGAACATTACCACCACCAATCACGTTTGTATATCCTGAATCTGAAAAGAGAGAGAACTGTTGTCTAAATTCAATTTTTATTCCATAGAAACAAGACACTATATCATCATATCATCCATTCACTCAAGCTGCCTGAAAACAGAGAACCAAAAGAAAATGACAGTGCAAAACAAGTACATGTGACAGCAGAAGACTCTCTCAGAACGATCTCTTATTCTGACTGCCAGGGTTTGAGGAAGAAGTCCTGGTTTTGGCAAATTCAACCAGGTCCTTGAAAAGGGCATCCTCCGGTTTCTCGTCTTTCTTCCTCGGAGGAGTGGTAGCAGAAGAGGCAGTAGGATTCAGAGAGAGGCTCCGAGTCTGTCCCACAAGACCATCATACGAGGAATCAGAGCCACTGCTCGAGTGATGATTCTGCTCGAAGAACTGTTGCCTCTGGTTGTGTCTGGAAGGCGGAGGCGGGAGATTCCCGGCGGCTAACTGCTCACCAGATGATGCTGCTAAGACTGGTGGTTCATCGTAAACAGGACGCTGTTTGGTGAAAGTAACCTCGGGAGATTTGCCCTGGGAAAATGGATTATCGAAAACAGGAGGCGGTGGCCTGACATTCTCTGGTGACCCCTGCGGTTTGTACACATCGCCACTGAGATAGTCATAGTTACCAGAATCAGCATATACAGGTCTCATCGTAGGGGGTGGCGGAGGAAGAATAGGGCCGAATCCTTGAGAATTCTCCCTCTTTGACCTGCAGTTATGGAGTTTTGCTTAGTTTTGGTTCTTACCAGAGAAATTACAAGAAACAAAAAAAAAAACTAAATGAGCGAGAAAACACGAAAATTCATCATTTGTAAATGCCATTTTACCGGTGGGAAAGCTGAGCAAAATCATCATCTGACTCATCATCGTCATCGTCATGGTTGATGTTGACAAGCGGAATGTGAGGGGAAGTGGTGGTGGCTCCAGTTGCGGAAACAGGGTTCCCCTTCGCGATATCATCATGGCGTTGAAGAACACGCTGCAAATTGTCGTTCAAGGCCAATCCCTGACACAGAAGTTCCTCGTCTCTGGTAAAAAAAAAAGGAAAAAAACATCAATCTCACCATCGACAAGAGATCATAAAAACGGTTCTGCTCAACCATATTTGCAAGAACAAACACACACAATGCCTCGAAAATCTGGTCTTTTTCAGCTAAAAATTCTGCAAAGAGTTGGTCGATCAGGAGCAAAACAAGATCACCCATTATGGAAAATTAAGCTTAAAATTAGTAATTAAGTTCAACATCAGAGCAGATGCGGTAAAAATCTTATCTTTACAGCTAAATCGTCAAAATAATCCAAAACCCATCAAGGATTAGTCACCCAGTTGCAAGATTAAGACTATCAAGTACAATTAGGCCCCAAACAAGGGTTAGTCACAGGGCAGAATGCATGCTAGATAGAGGAGTGAATCCTTACGTAGCGGTGTTCACCAGAGTCATAACGCGTTTCTGGTAATTACGGCACTGCTCGACCAGTTCAACAATAACTTCTTCCTTCAAACCCTTCCAAAAGTGTGGAAATTTAGACTTCAAAAGCAACCAACTGATCCATAAACTTTTATCCTGCAACACAGCAATGCATATTCTTACCTCAGGATGCCTAGGATCAAGGGCCCCGATCATTTCCATCAAGACATCAACGGATCCCTGAGCACTTTGAATCTCTTCCAGGCTGAAAAACACGAGACGTGGTAACCATAATAATAAGCTTTAACACCGTTGGTAACAGAATGAAGGAATTGAAGGTATTGAAAGCAAAGATGTGAACTATCTTTTCTTGGTCGGTCCATTAAACAGAACATGCAAGAGATATGACTGATGCTTAGTATATACCTCAGAGCGGAAGCATCGTCACTTTGCAGTGAAGCCTGGATAGCAGCATCTTCATCTGAGGCAATGGGCTGAGTCTGAGGTGGAGTAAAGAACGGTATGCTGCTCTCCGCTCGCGGTGGAAAATCCACTCCAGCAGACTAAAATCCACAGTAAACAATTCTCAATATATGATCAAGTTCCTGCTCATAACAAGAGAAGGCCATATAGTGATACAGTCCAAGTAATTTATCGTTTACCCTGAGTTCATTATATGCATTGTAGTACTGTGGGTATCTTCCCCCACGTCCACCGAAAGCTTCTTGCCATGCATCTAATAAACCGAGTATCTTTTCCTTTACATTCAGATCGGGCTGCATGATCGATTCAGCAAATTCAGCACGAGCCATGTTGGCTAAGACAGAACAAACAGTTGATATAACAAGCAAGCAGACGAGGGATAGTAAACCTTCTTCTTCACTATTTTGACCATGTCGTGCAAAATATCGCGGTCAATGATCAGCTGATACACATTCTCACCACAATTCTTACTCACTGTTTCCAATGCCTGTACCAACGCCCCGAGCATAAATTTCAGATTTTGTACAGAAATAAGCTTAAAATTTCAAAGAAGACACTGAAGAAAAAGCACTCACATAAAGAGCTAGAAGCTGAACTTTAGGGTTTTTACTTCCTAACCGCTTCTTGAGCACCTTCAAAGCTTCTTTGGCTTGGCTACATTATCAAGAATGAAAATTTAGGGTTTAATTTTTAGCTGCAAACCAGCGGGCCAAAGGAGACAATGAAGAAACATCGAGAATGACACATCGGAAATTGAAAACCAAAATTTAGAGGAGAACCTCACGAAAACGTTACCTAGGGTCCATGTTGATGATATCGCAGAGTTCAATGTTGATAGCCCAATCAGGACCGATCAGCATATCATTCGTAGCCCTCTCAGCACATGATGCTCCATTATTCGCCATCACGAGATTTCTTCTCAATCAAATTCCACCTACAAGGAAAGGTGACATGATACAATAAGCTCTAACTCAAGCTAGAACATCATGAGAGTCCAAAACCATATGGATCGAACAGGAACCCATCACTGAGAACAGATTGGATATTGCAACTGAACTGTTAAGAAAGATGCAAATTTTCCCCCCAGAACTCAGACCAAACCAAGAAGCCATGAAGATCAATCCTACAACAGAACTGACATATTCTAACGAAATTAACTGAAATCCTTAGAACTTGAAGGAAAGGAACAAGGAAAATTAATCGAAAGTTGCTCTCTTTTTGGACACCCACATCAGATTAGCCAAGTAAAGTATGAAATCAGAAAGCTTGAACTCGAGGAAACACTAATTCACAAGGCCAGAGGTCTTTTCTCACACAATAGATACCAATAAACAACCCAGAATTTGCATCTAAACCAATGGATCGTCTTATCTTGATCGTGATAACCAATAACTAAAAGAACATAAAATCTCACAGCAGGAACAAGAATCAAAGTAAACGACAGCGTAAATCTACGGAGATTTGAACAAAAACGTAGCCTTTTACCTGTGTCAGACCCGAGAGCGGATGAAAGACACGACGAAGATTTGTAAGATTTCAGGACCAAGAGGATTGAATAATTTGAAGAGGGTTGTCGCAAAAATTCTCTCTTACCCACGAATTGGGTCGGGGGTTTTGTGATCGCGTTCGTCAGACTTCGCCGTTCAGAAATCAACGACGACTTTTCTTCTTCGTTCTAGATGCAAACTTGTCTTTTGGTTGTGACTCACCTGCGCTAAGGAAACAGTAGGTGATGCAAAGATAAGAGATCACCGTCGAATTAATATTTAATTAATTTTAGGATTCTTTACGTCATTCAATGTAATTAAGCCCCTAAGCAATATTTTATCAAGGATGAAATAAATAATAAAATCTCAAACGCGGTCGCTGGTCTATGGGGGAGGAATAATAATAATCGCGTTGGCAGACTGAAAACGGCGTCGCTTCGATCTGAGTTTCCCACGTTGACTTCAGCTCCATTGACTTCAGCTCCAAAACGCTGAAAACATAAACGCGTTTTCCAACGCGAGAATGTGAAAGGTTTGATTGGGACCCACTCCCCCGTAAAGTAAAATACCTCTCTTCCAAGTTAAGACAAAGATGATAGAGATTAATTAGCTTAATGATGTGCTTTAACACCAATATAATAAAATTATTTTATTACAAGCCCTACAATGGAGATTCAGAACCAATGGTATCTGAAAAAACCAGATACAAACATTTTTACCAGAGAAGGAAATGCCTACTTCCTTGTATAATCAAACACTATGCCATCTATATACACATCAGATCATCTTCCACTTTGGAAACACGTTGGCTTATTATTACAACCAAAAATTGGGGAAACTTACAAGCAAAAGTTAGAATCTTTGTGATGTCGTCTTTTTCCGTCCTCGGTAGAGCGGAATCGACATTATAAGGGCCGATATTCCACACCGAGCTCCTCCTCCTCCTCTTCGTATAGCCACCGATTATCACTCCCGCATGTGTAGTTTCCAGAGGAAAGACAAGCAACCGGGACTGTTAGCCCTGAAACATTAACACACCCATAATCAGAAGTTGAAACCCTGTGAATTAGAGAGATGGCAGTGAGATCATGTTATAAAACCAGGCACAACTCCGGCAAATGCTAATGGATTTGACTTCTTTGTAAGTTTTCGCCACCATATTGTATTCAGGACATCAATTCTTCTTTCTTTCCTTTTTATCCTCTCAAGAAAATGAAGAAGCTTCGGTCAAGTGTTCAAGATCTTGTCAAAGTTTGAAACTTTATCGTCAAAATCTCGTGTCATCAACAAATCTTGGCTGTTTCAAGAACCCTTCGTACCCATTAAGCCATCCACACGGAACCCAACATGTTCATTACACACCTCACAGGATCATACCAAAACAGCTCCCTTAACGCTAGATATAGAAGTCGCCTTTTTTCTTTACAGCACATACCTATAGATTGATAGAAATCTAATTTGCAAGAATCAGATGTGAAATGCTTCTATGAGATTATGAAATATCATAGAGATTCTTTGTTATGTGAACCGAGATTCTTTCGCCAACAAAATCTGATTTTCAATTTCCGAAATCAAAAGCCAAAGCTAAAACCTTCATTTTCCTCAAGAGCTATAAATAGTTACGTACCTTATGCTGTTGCTTCGACTTCGATTACTGCTGCTGCTGCTACCACTGCTCTTTGTGCTTCCACTGTTATTACTTGAGATTCCACTCTCGCTCCCCTGCGATTCAGAGAACTCATTCTTCCACCAATCCTTATCCCCATTTCTCTCAGACCCAGCAGAGATTGAATTCCTCGGCGATAACCAAGAACCTTTACTTGTTACAGAAGAATTCCTCGGCGACAACCAAGAACCCTTACTTGTTACAGAAGAATCATCATCCTTCTTCTTCTTCGACCTTTTCTTGGAACCCAAGTTAATGGGAAACCCCAATTTTAGAAGAAACCCACCGTTATTCATGCCCCCGGCTCGATTCTTCTCCGGCCATTTATCGCTTTTCATCTTCTTCACAACCCTATTCGGCTTATTTGTTCTCTCAGGCAATTCATCGAACACCTTCCTCTCCTCTAACTCGTTCGCGTTCACCTCGACAAGATCCTTCAAGGAAAGCTCGTAACACGACTCGGGCATCTTACTAACCATCTCCATAAGCTCTCGTTGTCCGCGAGCGATGGCCTGAGCCTTCGACGACGGCGAGAGGCTCCGGTAACCGTTCCGGTGAGGAGGGCTCGTCGACGGGCTCGTTTTCCATAGCGGAGGTGAACAGACGCCGGAATCTTGGTGATCGTTGGAAGAATCAGGAAAATACAAATGGGGTTTGAAGGAATTTGGGGTAGGATCTAACATCTCGATCTGGAGAACGAGAATTTCGGGCGAGATGAGAAGATGGCGATGATGAACAGAGAGAGAGAGAGTGGTGGATTCGTGGATTTGCTTTGAAGGGAAAATATGTTTCGCTGTTTAGATTTCCATGATGTCTTCTTGCTTGACCCGCGCATCTGACTTATTAAACCGACAAAATATTTCCACAGACTTTCTGTAATTATTTACCAAAATAATTTTGAATATATTTTTTAAATGGAGAAAATTTGCAATTTAATGCCTATACCATTTTCTACACATTTTCGTGTTCTTTATCGTGTTTTAATACATGATTTTATTTTTCATTCCAAGCTTCTAATAGGTTCGATTTTTTTTTGGTGGGCAAATAGTTAAATTAATTAAAATAATATCACATAAAAAAAATATATTAAGCATCAGGATGTGCGGAATAAAAATAGATGGACACTAAAATGAAATTTTAAATACTTTCGGAAAGTAAATATTAGGAAAATAATAAACCTATAATTTTCTTTTAAATTGGTATTAAATTTGGTGAGGAGGTTGTTATTTGGTTTGTATATATTCGTATTGCGTGCGGCCCGTAAATTTCTCTCGAAGCTTTTAAAAGTCAAAGGGATTCTAGATGGAACAACAACAACAATAATAATAATAAAACGTTATATAAAATATGATTATTTAAAATGATGTACAATAGCAATGAGATAATATATCATTGGATTTATATATTCTTATTATTAGTATAAGAATTAAAAATTCTATTGTGAGGAAAACGTATTATATATTTAAATCCATTTGATTATCAATAATACAATAAAGTTTTATTCCGCAAACCAACAAACTAATTTTTGCATCAATTTGCAGAAAAACAAAAAATATGTAAGTTTACAAAAACTTATAATTCTTATTTGTAGAGATTTTAATTTATAAAAAATATACTTAATCAATTTTTGTAGGAATGTTTTCTTTCATTTCACACGGTAGAAGAGGAAAAAAAAAGTCATATTTTTTTTTTGTTGTTGTAAGAATAAAGAGATTATTTTAATCTAGACGTCTATAATAGAAATATCTAATGATTTTAATGGTTACAATGTGACAATTTTGACAACCACCATGTTAATTGAAAATGATAGCAAAAGTGATAATAATTCCGTCCACGTGTGTTTGTCCTCTTGCTTCAATTCATTATCAAATAAAATGTAAACAACTTGTTATTTATTATTTTATTACGAATTCCGTATATAACTAAAAAAAATCATTGTCTACATTCCAAAAATTATATAAAACTCCTGTTTCTATAATTTCATTATCTTTACATTACCGTAGTTTAAAATATTTAACTAATTTATTTTTCACATTTTGAATTTTTAAAAAATTAAATACACGCTAATACTATTATACTAACTATAAAAAATAGAAATTGACTTTTATATATTATGTGATTTAGTGATATTTAAATGATTGGCCTTCACCTTACAACTTTAAAAAAATATAAGTAATATCATTTTTAATAACTTAAAAAGTATATCTTTGTGATATATTTGATAAGTTTTTATTTCCTCTTATGTCCCTCATTTCACCCAAAAAAAAAAGCTAAAATTATGTAAATAAGGAGGAATGTACATCCAAAATCCAAAGTGTGCGGACCCATATGAGTCATAATATTGTCTCATCAAACCCAAACATTTTGCAGCTTTCACGAGGCTTAGTGCTTTTAAAATATGTTTTTTTTTATTTAATATCAATTATTTATTAGTGAAGATTGTTGACTTTAAAATAACAGTTTCTTTGTGTGCCGCTACAATAATATTTTTCTTATCTAAGATTTCCATTGAAGAAATAATTTATATGATGAGAAATCTTGAGATGATCATGAAATCAAATATCTAAGTAATTGTTCTTTTTTTTTTCTGTTTTATAAACAACACATTTGCAAGGACTAATAATGAGTTTTGTACGGAAGCGGTGGTTTATTTGTTTTAAATTTCAAATCATTTTTTTTTGAAAAAAACAAAAAAAAAAAAATAATAATTTGAAGGGGTTTTCAAAACAAAATAAAATGAAAATATTTAAATTTAGGTTTGGTTGTAAGAATGGGCCTTTTTGAATATTTAATATTTTTTACCACAAAAATATGTAAGAATAATAATCTTAGAATAGGGAATGAATAAGTTCATTTTCATTTAAAATTTTTAACACGAACATGTATACATAGATATATGAATGCATGAAACACGTAGTAAGAAATGAATGTTGGACATTTCATCCGACGGTCCACTTCGTCAAAACAAAAACCCAATTGCAAGTAAATAGAAAGCGTATATTAAATAAAAAAAATTAAAAAAAAAAAAAAAGAGGTCCTACCGGGAGTCGAACCCAGGTCGCTGGATTCAAAGTCCAGAGTGCTAACCACTACACCATAGAACCTTCTTGCTTTTTGATCTCTCTTTAAAATGGAGATGTAATAGCAGCCAAAAGGATCTCAATTCAAAGTCCAGAGTGCTAACCACTACCGGGAGTCGAACTACTACTAAGGCCTCTGAGGCCCAAATTATATAGCCCACGAATATTTTCAGCGCAGCCCACTTTGTTTTTTAGTTTTAATTCTTTTTTTACTTTACTTGAAATAGTCGTAGAAATATCAAATATATCATTATAATTTTTTTATCATATTATAATTGTTTTATACACATCGAATAATATTTATTTCTGTAATAGTAAAATATTTTAATTTGAATTTGTTTTAATTCCACGTCCTAACACAAAATCTTTTGTCGAAATTCTAATTGAAGTTTTTTTTATAACGTTACTTCTGCTTGGAGGTGATGATGATAATCTCTTCTCAGAAGAAGACACAGTTAGGGTTCTTATAACTGCTTAAAACCATATCTCTTTACATGAAAGCTAACCTAACTTCCATTGAATGATTCTGTGCTTAAACAACACTCATATTTCAATGATGTTCTTCAACAGAGAGAGAGAGGGAGAGATTTGCATCTTCTCCTTTCATTTCTTTACATGTTGTTCGGACAACATCCTAAGGAACACTGAACTAAAACGAAGAAGACAAAGGGCTCGATCCAAAAGCAACCTTAGACCAGTTGATGTTGCATCTCCTCCCCTTTCATCTCCACAGACTTCTTCTCTTCCGCCTTCTCGCCTTTGTTTCCGTAGTATATCAGGTAGAGTATCAGTTGCGTTGCTCCTAACCCACACCCGAAGCCGTTTGGGATCTGCCAAAGATTTCCCGTTTCGGTGAGGAATTTCGGTTCGGTGATTGCTTGCATCACAAGTAAACAACTCGGAGAAAGACTTACAGCGACAAACGGGTCACGGCCGAGGAGGCCATATATGAACCAGGATGTGCCACAGAGAAAGACAAAGAGCGAGAGGAAGAAGGGCATGTACTCCACGCTCTTTGTCTTTATCACCATTCTCTGAAAACATCACACCAATCTTGAGTAGATACGGAAACAAATTTCAGAATACACACACACGCATTTCCTCACTTACCATGATTGAGAGGGGAGATGCATACATGATGATGGAGAAAATGGTGGCGGCCAGACCACAGAAGAGCTTCCTGGAGTTGCCATGGAGGGCGAAGAGAGAAACAAGAGCCACTGCAGAGAAGAGCGTGATCACGCAGGTGAAGATACCAAAGATCTTAGCTTTCTCCTTCTTAGGAGCAAATACGAGGAAGATCAACACATAGATTATCTCGATCGCAGCTCCTGTCCCATTGATTGTCGACACAAGCGTGTTGTTCTTCGAGACAAAGGGAAGTCCGTACCTTCACCAAAGAAACAGACCCAACACAAAAACAAGTCTAGGATGACGAAACTGTTCTGTAAATGGATCGAGGGAAGAAAAATTAGCAGCTTTTGCACCGTCGGCATGAAAAAGATTGAAGCTTTGGGATTACCAAGCAGAGAGGAGACAGTTTAGGAGAGTCATCGGATACGGGATCCCTGAAAACTGTTCCGTCGATCTGTTCTTGACGATCCGCTTGAACGTGATCCTTGTTTTATTCAACAACAAAGATGAAAAAGTTTTGAACTTTACCCTAATTTCTCCAGACCCAGGAAGAAATTTCCACGAAATGGAGATTTCAGGAACGAATTCGAGAACAGCAATGGACGCAAAACTCATTTCGAGTACGGAGAAAATACAGTGAGAGAGAGAGATGATTCAAATAAAATGCGCAAAAGGGTAATAAAAGTACTTACGTCGGTGCCAAGAACAGGAACAGAGCAGTTGCGTTTCCTGGAAAATCACATAGAAAAATCTCAGAAATTTTCCGGGAAAAGGAAAGAAAGAGATAAGACTTGATGATATTCAACATGGATTACCGAGAACGCCGAAGATTGTATGAGCAATATTCATCGTTCCGGCCGATCGTGGCGCCGCTAACGAGTTCTCTTCTCTTCTTCTTGATTGTTAGCCGAGAAAGTGAGAGAAAATCAGTCGAGAAAGTGCGAGAAAACGGAGAATTCCAACAAAATTAAGGGAAGTAAGTGTAATTGTGAAGAAGCTTTGAGATTAATATAGAGAAGCATGAGTACAAACCGCTTCATTAAGTTTAATAATTTTTTATTATTTATTTTTTATTTCTGATCCTCGAGAAGGGAATCATGGCTCTTTTCAGTTAATAAAAGCTTCGGAAAGTGACATTTGGTATCATATGAAATTTAATTTTCGTCACAAACATGACGAGTGTCCATACCATTTTAATATTTTGCATGCTATCCGTTAGAGAACCTATATCTATATACGGTCTACAAATTCCGCTGAAACTATATTGGTTATAATTAGGGGTGGACCTTTCGGTTTCGGTTTTTCAGAATCAAATCATACCGAATCGAAAATTTTGGTATTTTTTCGAATTGTATCGTTCAAAATTTCCGAACAGTATAATTTTTATAGAACCGAATGTTCCGAAACCGAAGCGAATTGAACCAAACTTTATAAAATTTCCAAAAAACCGAATTTTTCTTAAGAAAATCTAAATTTTTTAGGAAAAACCGAAACCGAACCGTACCAGAACCAAAATCGAACCGAATAATATACGGTACTAAATTGGTACAAATTTTAGAATACCGAATAAATCGTTCCCGAACAACAGTTAAAATTCTGACATAAATCTCGAAACGTCCAACCCTAGTTATGATATATATATATATATATATATAACTTGTACGGAACACTGTACTGGTCTTTAGTATCTCTCTCTTTTTTTGTTTTATTCAGATTACAGAAAACTCTTATATATTATATATATACGCGCACACACATATAATACTAAAAATGCCGAATCATCATATCGTTTTTGTATACAATGGGGGGAAAAACTAGATTACTATATTTAACCCTCGATTTCAATACATCATCAACAATATACACACATATATACTAATTTTAATCATTTTTTTGTACTAATTTTAATTTACGATAATAGAAAATCTATTTATGATCGAAACGGACAAAATCACCGTTCCGAGGTTAGGTTCGGAGCCCACGTCTCAATTATTATGGACAAGAGAAAGAAAGCAATGGTCGAAAATGAGAGAACACACACCACATGCAATTAATTCACATTACGCGTACAGCCTTCACGTAGACTTCCCTTTTTCATACATACATACATACATATATTGTGTGTATATATATATATATATATATATATATATATATGTGCATGTGCATATGTATAGGCCTTCATTTCACGTGTAGGGCTATGCCTTTGCTTGGTATACCAATACCCAAAATATACTCCCAAATGGCGATTTATGTCTATATGGTTGTTTCCCTTTGTCTGGTCAAATCTTTGCTCGTATAAATATATTTTCTGATTTATTTTATTCGAACATTTTTTTTATGAATCATATTCATTCCATTTTCTCCGTTTCAATTCTTCTCCAATTCAACTTTTACTAACGTTTTTTTTTTAATTACAAAACAGAAATTAAGATAATGATGGGAAAAGGAACAAGCAATTGAAAGAGAAGCGTATTGAAGTGTATGCTGACCTGCCCTCTAGTGAAGGGCTCTCTCTCGACTTCTCACGATCCATCGATCATTATAATATCCACGAGTTTGGATAAGATTGACCACATTAATCTGTATTTTGAATAAATTGAAATTATCTTATAGATGATTATCGATATCAATCATGAAGGCTTGAAATTTGCAACGTTATCTCTAACTTTATGTATTATACACGTATGGTTTAATTTGGTACCTGCCTTGCAAGGACTGATTCTAAACAACACGAAAGGAGTCGGCTATCTTCTTCAGATCTTTGTAGTGCCTCTTCCATTGAAGTCCTGCATCATACAGAACGCGTATATATATACATATATATATGTATGTAATGCCGGTTAAAGGGATCTGACTAGTATTGGAGAAATCTTGGCCTTACCACTTCCGGTGACGCTGAACAAGTAAAGGCGATTTCCAGCAGCAGTTGCGGTTATCAGTACATGAGGAGGCTCTAGTTCGAATTGGTAATATGTTCTCCCTGAGTGTTCCGCTACGCTTGAACTTAATACCTTCCCTTCCACATTTTCTCCGATAACTTCCGGTCCAAAGGCGCTTATCACCTTCTCCGGCGGTCCAATCTTTTCGATCGTAGCATCATCACCGAGGTCTGTAAGCAAACTGTAGGTCAACAACACGGGTAAACCTCTAGGCAAAACCGAGATGAAAATCTGACAGGGTCACTTACTATCTGCAAATCTTAGAACAGGAGCCACGATGACAAACAATCGGCCTTCTTTAGGGCTAGCGAATCTCAGGTCAATCTCGGTGCCACCGAGATCAGCTATCGATACCGGTACCTGGAATATACGATGGAAAGAATGACAAGAAGATTTAAAGATTTATCAGTAAACCTTGCAAGGATAAAGACATCAAGAAAACAACCTCTTCCCAATCCTGAGGAACTGAGAAAGCATAAGGGATTATGGGACTCCAACCAACACCATGCCCTCCTGACTTCTCATCCGGTCTACGGTATGTCCTCCAACCTGTCTGAGCATTACATTACATTTCACCACTAAATTCAACATAACCGAATCCACAACACCTAAAGAACCACTATCCATAGACTTAGGAATCTACCTCTGGATGAAACTTGGAATTCTGAGGACAAATTACTATACTAGTTTGAGGTTTTATAGATTAAAAGCAATCTACTTTGCGATATAAATAGGTTCAGTGTCCAGACTCTGGAGAACTCTAAGAAAAAGGAGCCAGTTTTTCATGCAAAATGAACAATTACAAACTCAGTAAACCAAATTGTATCCAGATACCCAAGTTTGGGTGACCTAGTGGTGAGAGAACATGCAAAATATACTCTCGTACTGGTTCAAATTCAAGCGTGGGGAGGAACATTCACCTAGACTTACCCGCTCCTCTGCGAGATGTAGTCGGGTCAAAATTCGGTGAACTTCCGGATTATAAAAAGAAAAAATTGTATCCAGCAATTAAATAAACGATATAACTCTCAATAGGATAGGCACAAGTCACCATAAATTCTTACAACCCACGTACTACAACTCTGGTTCAATAGCGATCCTGTCAAAATCCATTCGAAGTTGACCCGAAATCGAGAATGGTGGGTCAGATTTCACAGGTCTCAATCCAAATCATCAACTTGAAGCCGAATCTGAACTCACAGCCACAGATTCATTTTAACCTGTTCATTTTGGGGAAGACCCAGCATAGTTTTGCTAAGCAAATCAAGTAACAAAGAGGATAAGGAGGAAAGAGAACGAACCTTCTTCATCGGGTTCAGACAGACCAGGGATTCTCCCGGCAAGAAGTCCCTGTTTCACGACAGCAAATCCTTCCCCCGGATACCCCAGAACTGTCGACAAAACCAGTGACAATCCAGACGCCATTGCCAACCTTCTGCTCAAAACCCTAGCACACGACTCGCCTTCGCATCCTCCGGAATTCGATTCTGATCTCGCGATCACAGCTTCTACTTTGTGGTGAGGATGGAGTTTCCTCCGGAGAATTTGGCCCGAAAAACTCACGGAACACCGGAGCAGCGAAGTTTCCATCCTCTCTCCGGTACGAATCTAAACCGCGAAATCGAGATATGCCGTCTTCGTCTCGCTGTGGTTGATACATATGCCCCCTTCAGATTCCTTTCTGATAAACGATCATCGGTTCCTAGCCTTACACGTGGCATTCCTAACGGCTAATGCCACGTGTAAACATACAACGTTCCTTTTCCATTTGATTTTTTAATTAATATTGCCAAAACGATGATAATTCCGAAAACAGTTGTGATTTGTGAAATGGGCCTCAAATATGGATATAGGTCTACTTAATGGGCCTTCTTATTACAGCCCCAATTTGTATATTATTTTTTATTTTTGTAAAATTGAGCCTAATCCCACATATTATAATCTAGATTTTGATTTTTGTACGTCATTTATGTGTCCTCTATTATGCTAAGAATAAAATGGTTACAAAAATCATTCATAATAACATATTATGTACAAAGAAGATAATATTTTTGTAATCTCACATTGGATGTTATTAGCAACTAATATTTTTATTACAATTATATTATAATCATGTTTAATTATCAACATTCAGAATGCAAACGGACTAATCGCAAGGAGTCGAAGGATGTCTCGAGACGCCATTCCCTCTGTTTCTTGTTCAAGGGCCTTCCTTTACCGGCTTTTTCTCGGTTCACTCTCACATCTGCAATTCCCCAGATGCAGATTTCCGCGTCCACGTCATACGACACGAGCCTGAATATACCGTCGGTCTCGGCCTCCTCGGTCACGTACTTAACGTACATTGCCCTGTCCTGGAACCGGTCCAGGTCCTGTGGGATCCGTATCACTCTCTCCACACCAGGCGATGAGACCTGCATGCCATGCCATGCCCTTTTGTTGTATCACAATCGTATATGTGGCAACTACAAAGATCAGAAAAAAGGCCAAATCTTGAAGTTGCAGTTTATGACCCTCCATAGATTTCTCCCCTATACTTCGACAAATTTCGTTCATATCAAACAGTGAATACATACCTCTAGAGAGATGTTGTCGGGAATGGACTTGGCAAGCTCAGCTTCATCCAAGCGTGCCCTGTATGTTGTCGAGAATGCTTCAATGTCTTCCATGGTTGGTGAACCAGACCTAACATCATTGAAGGAGATGGATGTTTCAGAAGTTCTCAGTCATATTTCACACATTGAATGACTGTTCTCGTGCGCATAAGTTCATCTAAGACGCGGGTTTTCTTGGAGTTGCATCATATGCTGAACTCCCTACAAGACGCTAAACCGAAGAAGGAATGCATACCACCGTCTCAAAAAGATCCTACAACGGTAGTTTTACCCGATTTCGACCTAAAAATCATAAGAGAGTCTAAGAAAGTTCATCTTCTTCGGAGATGATTACCTGTTGGTGAGCCGCTCAATACGGACTTGTATGGTGGAATTCAACAGAGACTTGAAGGCATAAATGCCCAAATCGCCATCAAAGGACTCGCAAACTGACTCAGCGATTGTAAAAGCTTCCTTATCCCACCATGTACCAGCAAGCTTTACACCTCCTCCACCACCTCCATCCCCCATCTCCAGACATTCACAAACATTAGAGACATCAAAGTTCAAAGATTTTTACAGCTACCTGATGATGTCCGGAAAAGACAATGATGAGTATACAAGACATGGCAGACTTACATAGAGCTCGGTCTCGTCTTCCACGTAAAAGTCTTCATCATCATCATCATCATCCATTTGCAACTCTGTTCAACAAAGAACATCATCTTCAACTATTCTGATTTTGGAATGACTGAATTATATCCTCCAATAAACCCAATTTCATCTATTTTCGATACATTTAGTATTATCATCAAGATAAGGATAAGCAATAGACATAAGCAAAACGGTTTTTCGCACCTTCTTCGAAATCATCAAGAAGAACTTGGTCCTCTTCGTCTTCATCTTCGTCATCCGGTAATTCCTCGACTATGTTCGGTCTCGGAGCCGACACGGGTTGTGCATCGCTCGACTTCTTCTTCTTCGCGTTAATCACCAAGGACAACTTCGGAGGCCGACGAAATGGAAAGGGATAGCCAAACCTCGCCGGAGAACTAGAACTATTGACGGAGACAGAACTGGTCGTGTGGGAACTAAGCGGAGCTGAAATTCCCGGGAAACGAAGGTTCGACCGAGAAACCAAATCCATCTTCTCGGACTGGTTCTTTTCCCGGGAACTGGGTGAGAAAATCTGAAAATAGACGAGAAAGACTCTTCTGCGGCTAAACCTTCGCTTCTCTCGGAGCATAAAATCAAATTACCGGTTTTCTTAACCAGCTTCCGGTTACGTAGTCGGTATCCGTCCTTTCTTCTGTGATAGAAGGGTATTTATGTAATTTCGCAGGCAAAAATATTGAACCACCTATATATATATATTATTGAGTTCGGATCGATTTAGTTATCACAACCGAATCGAAATATCCACAGCTGGCTACGGACTTTAGATATTGAACCGGTGGAAAACCCAAACCGGAGCATTTGGTTTGGTACACATTTGTGCAAACAGAACAAATCTAAAGATTCTTGAGGTAAAAAAGGTGTTCAAGTTCAACAATGCATGAAACTCTCTCATCTCTGCATCTATGGCTTTGTTGTATCCCCAGAAAAAATAACTATATAAGGCAACCAAAGAACGAACTCACAAGGCTCTTGAGAGAGCGAATTTCTGCCCCGGAGGAGGCAATAAACCGGCGGTGGAATTGTCGGTCCAGTTCTTGTCACCCCAATGCCAAAGCATACTCTCCCAGAAACAGAAGTCTTCAAAACAAGTCTCCAGTCTCTTGTCTTTGATCTTTATCTTCCAATGCCCATCTGTGTAATTCCCTTTCTCGGCTTGCCTTCTGTCCCACTCGATCTGCGCCTTCTGTTTCGATCTCAGCAGGCAGAATTTCTGCAGGTTCTCTGGCATGGCGTCGTGAACTTTCCACCATGTTTTGTGGGCTATATCGCTTGCAAACTCCTGGAGAATGTCGACGTTCCAGTTGCAGTCGTAGTCTCTGAAGCATAACCAGGGTTTGTTCCCGAGGTAATGCAGGACATAGAGTATCGGAGGATCGGCTCCGAATAGACGGGTCTTCGCCTGTTTCTTCTCGGGTTCATCTCCTTCCCAGAAATGCTTCAGGAAATTCATGTGCTTTGGAATCCGATGCCACCAAGTGAATATCTCGTTAAGGTAACCTTGATCTCCTCCGTTGTATGAAACGATCTCATCGATGTGATCCATCAACAGCTGGAACGTACAGTTGGATGGCTCGACTACCATTACCCCCGAGTTGAAGAGCGTTGCATTGTTCCCTGTAGCAGATATCTCGGGCATCTCGAAGAGGAAGTCGATGTTCCTAAGAATGAGCAGATCAGCGTCTATAAAGATGATCTTGTCATATTCAGTCAACTGCCAAAGCCGAAACTTGCTGTAGTTCCACTCGTTGTATGCTTCTGGTTCGGCCTTCGGGTTTCGGATTCTCTGAATCGTGTGGATCTTCCATCCAGCAGCTTCTAGGCCACCTCGGTGGTAGTCACTTATTGATTCATCGACAAGTATCACGAGATCCCGAGTAGAACCTGCCATACGAATACTCTGTGCCGCCGTAATGGCTCCACATACGTAGAAATGAGCAGAGTGCAAGATGGTTGCATACGCTTCCCGCTTTGCTCTTGCCGAGTAGAAGTTATCTGCAGACGAAAACGAGGTCGGTTCATGTTATTATTATTGAATCATCATACATAATCTGATACAAACTTTGGGGGAGAGCTAAGGACTGGAAATATGATAGTCACCTTTAGCTTTAAGAGGAACAGCGAGTTCACAGGAACCGACGGGCAGTTGTACCTTTTGCCTCAATGTGTTAAGGTCGGGCTTGTACAGCCAAGCGTTTCCCCGATGGGTAACGAGTTCCTTGCAAGTAAAAAGATTCGGGATAGGGAAGCAATCGGATATCAATAGGACATGTACATCATGAAGCCCTTTAGAAGAGGCAGCCACTCGAGCTGCTGCAAGTTGCAAGTGTAACCGAGCCACGTCCCTTGACCACTTCCCTGATTTTTTGTTGCACGGGAGCTTGGCAATGACAAGATCGATCCGAGGTTTTCCAGGGACTTGAATCCAGGGAAGAGAAGGACAGATGGGAACTTCGAATTCTTCTTCTTCATCGATCCATTCCGGGTACAGGGATTCCCAAGTTACATTATTGGCTGCACATGACAGGTGTAACCCGATATGCTCACCGTCGGGTATCAGCTCCTTCCACAGATCAATCTCATCCTCGTTCAAATTTATAAAGCCAACCCCCTGATATTCGTTCCTTCCGGGTAATTTCTCAACAATGTATGACATGTGGTCCCAGTTTATCGTGGCTGTCGATATATAGCGAGGGTCAGCATCACCTGACTCTTTCATCCATCTGTTTATCAAACTGGACAATGTAAAGTTCTCATTAAAGTATCATGCCCAGGTCGTGCCCTCTAAGAAACCGTCAAAGAGAGAACACGGGCCTGCTTATAACATGAGATAAAACTGTATAGATAAAAAAGCGTACCTTGAGTGACTACCGGATGGATGATCGACAATGTATACGGCAGGAGAATGAAAAAGCATAAACAGAGTTCCGAGCACAATAAGAGCCAACACAACTTTCAAAGTAGGGAACTTGACGTTCCAATTTCTATACTGGAAGGAGCCATGGACACCCTTTTCGACATCTTTGACGTCTCGATATCTCAGGGATCTTCTTCTGCTTGTCTCTTCACTGTCAAAATACATTAGTGAGAATGCCCGTCAACATATTGCCAGAAGAAAAGAACAACCATTTTCCATTGCAAAACCTTGGGCGTGTCTATTCTATGAACAAGAAATCCAGATAAATCTGAAATTGCAGAAATGAAATCAACATTTCTATGCACAATTGAGGATACAAAATATTTCAGAGACGAATCTCAACTCGAAAACTAAGAATAGGGAATACCCAGAAACCGCATCAAGAACAAGCGTGATCAGCGATTGCAGACTGCTAGATCACTATTAACGAGCTAATTCGCGTACTTCAGTTGAATTTTGGAATCAGCACGGAATGAGAACCGCACACAAAACTTGAACGAACTCAGTAAGGCAAATACGAATACGAAACCCAAATCCAACAGGTAGATAGATCTCGATTGTGCTCGTTATTTAAGCCGATTAATACAAATTCTTCGGAGCTCGAACTCAGCCGACACCACAATACGATCGGGGAAAAAAAACGGAGATTCGATTCCGCCTAATCTAGTCTTCGTCTAGCATAACAACAAGGAAACGCAAGAAACTAAGAAGAGTGGGATTACAAGGAGCGAGAACTTACGACGAACTTGACATTCGGTGTCTGGGCTCTACGGGACCAGGGGAAGTAACCCTCATACTCCCGAATCGATCAGTAGAAGCAGTAGCTGTGTCCGTCGCGCAAGGAATGGCGGCAACAATTGCTCCTCTTCCCTCCCTGTTTGGCTCCCTAGAAAACTGCCGAGAAAATCACAGAGACTAGAAGTCACCGAGAGAAGGAAATTCAACGAAGAAGCAGGAACGATGAAATGATTTATAGTGTGTAAGGGTTTTGGGAGCGTGATTAGTTGCCAGAGTTGTTAGTAATTAACTAAATAAATCATATTTTTTGGACCAACGCATTATTAGACCACGTGACGAAAATACGAATTTCCCCCAAATCTAACAATTTCTTCCACCCGTGTCACCGTGTGTGCGATTCGTCACTCAACTCACATTGATATTGGAAATTATTTTCTATGATAATATTGACTTATGAAATAAAAATAAGACTGTTTGGAATTATGTATGAAATTAAAAAATATAAGTATAGTTTTAGATATATTTACAAAAATAAAGATTCATTTGAAAGCCTAGAACTTAATAATTAAATTTTTAGTAAACATTATTAGAAAATTAAAGATTTCAGTTGGAAAAGAAGAACGAAATTCATATTTTTACGGTTTTACCGCTGGCCTTTTTCTTTCTATCTTTTTTAACATTGAGGTAAAAGAGTCACGTCAGCATAGTCACACAGAAGGGTTTATATTTTTGCCAACCGCCAAAGCAAAGGGGAGTTTTCCCCATTTTTGGGCTCTCTCTCTTCAACACGGAAAAAGAGGACAGAAAATTCAACCGAGGAAAAAAAGAGATCTCCTTTCTCCGAGAAATCTTTTCCTGGGCTCGATTTTCTCGGAAATTTATCTCCTTTGGACGAGCAAGTTCGAACCCACTGAGGGATTCAGTTTTTTTCTCTTCGGTAACCGATTTAATTTGCGGCTTTACGCTTTTGCATGAGTGTTTTTTTCGATCCTTTTTCTGTGTGTGTCGGTTGCGGAATCGTCGAAATCTGTACGACGTTGCTGATTTAGGGTTCGGTGGTTCTTGATTACTGGGAAATTCGCTGCTTCCTTTGCTCTGTTGTCTTCAATTTGATCCATGTGCCTGTTCGTGTGCGTTTCTTCGTCTGTTAAGCTTGTTGTTTGGTTTCTCGGAAAATTTCTTACCGGGGCAAGAATCTGAGGAGAATGACCCAGATCGGGAAAACTCGAATGAATTAGCTGTTTCTGTATGTTGGGGAACTGATACATTTTGGTAGCTTGGAGATTCAGGGTAGCAGAGTATTTTCATTTCATCTTACTGGATAAAGATTACACATTTGAAATTGAGAAACTCTCTCCTGGTACCCGTTTTCCGTTCTTCCCGATGTTGCTGGGATTCTTATTACTGATTATAGTTCGGCTTTGCTCTTTCTCGTAATGCAGGTAGTCTGCTCCTATCGAATCTAAGTTCTCTTTGCAACGCAAAGTTTTGACAAAGGTTCTGTCTTTTTCGGGTGAAAGTCGTGATGGCATAAGGAGAAAAGTCGGTGTCTTCGTGTCTATTATGCATCTGCGAGCAGTAGAACAGTTGATTCAGCTTTTGAAAAACAGTTAATCCTCTTGGTTAATGTAAGCATTGCTTCTGTCATTTTGTTGTCTGTAAATGGGCTGGAAGATTGTCCTCTGCTCTCTGGTTTTGTGTCTTGGTTGGGCGGAGTCCTCAAGTAGATCCAGGAATATATGGCTTCCGAGCCTTGGCACTGATTTGGGCAAAGCCTTCAGTTGGCCAATTTTTAGTGCCAGCATTTTCGTCAGCGTTGCTATTATCCTCTCCATGTACCTTATCTTCGAGCACTTGGCTTCTTATAATCAGCCAGAGGTGTGTTTTCATCTCCTTGACTACTAAGTTTTCACTGAGAAAAGTTAATTGTATATATATTTTTCTAAAGCCTGAAATCTCCTTTCCGTGTCTCAGGAGCAAAAGTTTCTCATCGGACTTATTCTGATGGTTCCTGTTTACGCTCTAGAGTCGGTAGGATTCCATACTGTGTACATTGATCCCTTACTTCTTGTTCATTTTTCTTAGAGTTCTCATTTCCGTGTAGTTTTTCTTTTTCTTCTAAATATTGGTTCTTTATATATTCTTGAACAGTTGTTGTCATTGTTGAACTCAGAAGCAGCTTTCAACTGTGAGGTGATTCGAGATTGCTATGAAGCCTTTGCACTCTACTGTTTTGAGAGATATCTGATAGCTTGCCTAGGTACTCTGAAATAACTGGAAATTGTCCCGAGCTTCCCTCTCTATCGAACTGCCTCTCAAAGGGACCTGCATTCTTGTTTGATACTTAATATGACTCAGAGGTCATTTTCCCTCGTTATGTGCAGGTGGAGAAGAGCGAACAATTGAATTCATGGAACAGCAGACAGTTATTAGTCCAAGCACTCCTCTTCTAGAAGACTCGTGCTATGGAGTTGTCGAACATCCTTTCCCTTTGAATTGCTTCCTAAAGGATTGGAATCTTGGTCCTGAGTTTTATCATGCCGTGAAAATTGGCATTGTTCAATATGTATGTTGCCCATTCTCGTGATTCATGGTTCATGATGTTTTCGTGGTGTCAATTATTCAAAATTCCCTGCTGCAGATGATACTGAAGTTGATCTGTGCTCTGTTGGCAATGGTCCTTGAAGCTTTCGGAGTTTATGGCGAAGGGAAGTTTGAGTGGAAATACGGGTAAAGATTACCTCTTTTTGTCTCCCTCCAAAGTTGTTCAAATGTGTGATATCTTGCACAACGTCTTTTCCGATATTCTTTCCTCTTTTATCATCTCTGTGCAGATACCCGTATCTGGCTGTGGTTCTCAATTTCAGCCAGACTTGGGCATTATATTGCCTTGTACAGTTCTATTCTGTCATAAAAGATAAGCTGGCACCGATCAAGCCACTGGCCAAATTTTTAACATTTAAGTCTATCGTCTTCCTCACGTGGTGGCAAGGTATTGCGGTCGCGTTCTTGTTCTCGATGGGAATCTTTAACGGATCTTTGGCTAAGGAACTGAAAACACGTATACAGGACTACATCATCTGTATCGAGGTAGGATTAGAAACTATCTGTTGTATCTGGTATTATATGGGTGTGAAAATATGTAGCTTGAGGATTCTTCTGCTCGGTTTGAGATCAAAGCTTGGGTTTTTACAGATGGGTATTGCTGCAGTAGTCCATCTCTATGTCTTCCCTGCAGCGCCTTACAAGCGTGGGGAAAGATGTGTTCGTAATGTGGCCGTTATGTCGGACTATGCCTCTTTAGGTGTACCTCCTGACCCGGAAGAGGTGCAGGACTGTGAAAGATCTACTAGGATGCGCTATGCTAGATATGGTGACGACGGGGAAAAACGCTTGAATTTCCCGCAAAGTGTCCGTGATGTGGTTCTTGGTAGCGGTGAAATTGTAAGCTTTTCTCTTTTTTACTGTATACCCTTGTCTGAGTTTTCTGGATTCTCTTCCCTTCACCCATCTTCTCTTTGTTTGCTAGATTGTGGATGACATGAGGTTCACAGTCTCACATGTTGTGGAACCTGTAGAGAGGGGAATCGGGAAAATAAACCAAAAGTTTCATCAGATATCTGAAAACGTCAGACGATACGAGCAGCAGAGGCGGTCGTCGTCGTCGTCTAAGGATGATTCTTTCCTCATTCCATTGAATTCATGGACGAAGGAATTCTCGGAAGTTCATGAAAAGATGCAGGAAGGGAGTGTCAGCGACAGCGGTCTGCAGAAAGGAAAGAGGCAAAATCGCCGTTCTTGACTTGTAGAATGTGCAGAGTTCTAGGGTTCATCTTTCAAGACCATCTAACAGAAGGAATTTGTAGAGGAGGATACACTGGGAAAGGGGATGGCTGACTGGTTTATTCATGTATTGTATAGAACTTAGAGGAAAGCAAGAACTCCTAATGGGTGTGTATGTAGAGATCCAGAGATAGTGATTTTCATGCATACACTTGTATTGAACGTGACAGATTCAGATCGAGGTTTGTGCTTCACGAGTTCCGACAAGATCTGTCGAGGTTTGATGATGAAACCCATCAAACTGGAACTGAATAACAAATGAGGTGGGGAGAAGAGACGATACACTATTGTAACTAACTTTGTTTCTCAGATTTGAAAAAGGTCTCGCCTATCATTCATCAGAAGGAGGAGGAGGAGAAGGTTCGTTGATGGAATTGCCACGCTCTCGAAGCTTGGCAATGGCGGCTTTCATGGCTTCCTTACGCTTCTTGCTGGCCAACACTTTGGCCTGGACTCCGCTAACGTTTGGGTCCTTCTTCTCCGCCTGTGGCGGCGGCGGCGGCCTTCTCGCTGCTGCGTTGGCCTCCTCCTTAGCGCTCCAGCTCCACACTGCACCGCTCAGCCCCAACGCCATTGACCTGCACAAACACTATTATGTGTTTTTACATTTATTTATTTTTTTATATTTATGTACTTTGAAATCTCATGAAGAACCTGCGGTTGATGGGAGGGAGGTCCAGGACAACGGGAGGAGACGGTGGCCGTGAGGAGGAGGAGAAGCGGCCGGTGGTGACAGCAGCCGGAGAGAGATGGCCGAGTGAATTGGCCATTGCGTGTATCAACTAATAATAATAATAACGAATGCCCTTTTTCTGTTTTTGTTAACGATGGAGAAACCCGAGGTGGTGTGTGATGAAGATGTCTGCGCAATTTATATCTGCAAATTCATTGGTTGGATTTGGATAAGGTCTTCCCCTTCTGTGGACCCACCAACACATCTACTTACAATTTTTCTTTTATAGACTTGAAACCACAGCATCTGGTAAACATAAACCGGGCTAGACCGGTTTTAAACCCAAAATCTGAAACCGGTTTTGGAGCTACGAAACAGAGATTGATATAGAATTTTATTATTATTATTCTTTGATTACAGAAACAGAGATTGTGAATCTCGGCCCAATTATAGCTCTTTGGCCCATACATAATTCTCTCTCTCTCTCTCTCTGTATATATATATATATATTTTTTTTTGGGTAACAATCCTTGCTTTCATATTTGTATACCATGTGAAAACCCCTCTCCAACCAGGAATCGAACTGCCAACCTCTGAGTGTTTTGCACCTAGTTGCTGACCACTCGCCCACAAGCTGTTGGGTTGCTTTCATATTTGTATACCAAATGGAAGAAAATTGAAGGTCGTATCACGGACAGATTAATATAGATATAAAGGTATATACGTTTAGATGGGGAGATTTATCTCTAGTAAATTATAACATTGTTATACCTAATAAAATTATTTGAAATGTTTAAGATATAATTAAAAATTATATTTGTCTTCTTTTTTTTCTCTAATTTGAGGTATTTCTACACCTCAGATAAAATAGTTATTTGGATATTGCCAAGTTTATATTTCAAAAGTCTTTTCAATCATAAATTCCTTCGTTGTATATTCACTGTGAGTAATTGAAAGTGCTTTATACCAAATATATCTATTATTTAAAATATATGCATATCTTTTTTTGTGATTGTAGCTGATAGAAAATTGACAGATTTCGTAATAGCTATTAATAGTAAAAAAAAACCTAATTAAAGATTTTTTTTTATGAACTTGCCTCCACGAATAATATATGATATTTCATTTTGTGCACTTTCCTTCGGAATTATATGGAAAATATTCATTCGCATGAAAATCACCAAACTTAATACATGAAAATTATCAAAATTTAATTAAGAGGCGTCTGTCCTTGTCAATGACTTGGACGTCATTCTCTTTTTCCCTTGAATATGCTTTTCCAAATCAACTTTTTGACTTTGAAATTTCCCAGAATTAAAAAACAAAAAAAAACTACTTTTTATTTTAATTTATCCACTGACATCTGTATTATTTCATGTGGGCGCTATTTAGATCTTGTACTTGCAAAAAAATTATTGTTACGAACATTATTACATATTTTTCTGCAATATTCCATGTCCAAAATAAAATCTACTGAGTCATCAGATAAAAATAATAAATATTATTTTTTGTGAATATATACGTAGAAAGAATATATACTCACAAAAACAATATATATATATATATATATATATTATGTAGAAGTGAATATATGTAATAGAACCAAGTCGATACATGTGTAATGGGCCATTATGGGCGTGGTCCACGGTGGTGCGACCACAGACACGTGGCACAACTCCGTTGGCATAGACGATGACCCGAGGCCTTCCGTGGCTTCGTCGTCCAGGATTTGACCATTTTACCCTGAGTCATCGGTCGGTTTTACACCCTGTGCCCTTTTATAGTATCATGCCTGTCTTGATGGTGACATATGTATATCGACTCTGAAAACAAAAGATGGAAATGAAATGATTGTCGATGGGAATTAAACAGGAAAAAAAAAAGAAGATATATATTTTCTTGCCAAAATATACATTAATTAATAAACACATGATATATGGATCAAATACTGCTCACAAATGTGCGTTTTAGTTTTTATTATTAACTTTTGAACCGTTATGACGTCATAAATGACATGACGTAAGAGATGACGCAATGAGGGAAGATTATATACCGCTAGTTAACTATATATGTAGAGCTTTGCTTGTAATAATTTAGTCAAAGATTATATTCCATGCAGGTACCGAAAATAGATTCTTTTTATACACATGAATTATATATATAGTTATATCACTAGAGGTTCCAAATATATTTAAGACCTTTTGAATAATAGATAACCAAAGTCATGTCGAATTTGGTATGGGACTAGGTTTTTTTAATTAAAAAAGAATATAATTAAAAGTGTTATTGTATAATGGTTTTTATGTGATGATCTTTTTATCTCGTGATTATTGCAAAAGTTATTGTGTTTTCTAATACGAGTTGAACCGACTTTTGCCAACACGATAATTCGTTGATCAGAAAAAGAGACGGAATTATATATATATTATCTTTCAAAATTGAAAAAAAAAAAGTGTCTCTAATTAATACCCTAACGAATATTATATTGATTATGTAGACGGCTTAAGCTAGGAAATATTCCCTGCATTTGGAACGATATTATGGTTTGGCTAACGACTTCTTGGGAGTCTCTGGATGGTAGACAAATAGCGATTCTTGCTTGGCAGGCTTTGATATACATTGTATGGAGAGAGCGCAACGTTCGAAACCATGGTGGGATTTTCTCGGACCAGGATTCTATCTTTCATAGCTACGACAAAGCACTTAGACGGATGGCGGCATCATTCCGGTTAGAGCGGTCGGGCTTCGCTTAAGAAATTTTACAAAGATGGTTTGGTTAATTGTTGTATTGGTTTTGGTTCATCATCACTGTACTCTCATGTTGTCTATTAGGAATATTTTGCTAAACAATAGATCGGGACGATACCGGTCACAGAGTCTCTTTTGGTTGTATTGGCTTTTCACCTATCCTGTATAGGTTTGGAAAGCCGTTGTATAAGTTATAAGAATAGAAATACCACATTTTGACAAAAAAAAAAATATTATATTGATTGATAAGTGAATTAAAGGTCAAATGATATTTTGTTTGAAGTGTTTTGTGACAAAGCTGAAAACGACACATTTGTATGCATCCGAATATGAATTGCAGTTTGTTTTTCACTTGGTAATATATGTTGGTTGAGAGCATCATTTAATTAAGGAGTCAATATTTAAAGCGATACATAGAGAATATGTTCTACTCAAAATTAACAAGATATGCATGCATGCATGTAATATAATATGATTAGTTGGACCATCAAATTATGCCACTATAATCTATCTCTCTCTCTCTATATATATATATTCAGCGTTTGGGAATTTTGTATAGGAGCATGTGGTAATAACTAAATCATAGTTTGACCGATCCTGTAAAACTACAAAAATCATTGATGATGATCGATGGTGATGGTCGTGATGATGTGACGGCCGTGATGATAAAAAGAGGTGTATATATATATATACACACACACAAAAACAGAATGAACTTTAACTTGAGAAAAATAAAGTAATACAGGATTGGACAATGAGTAAAATCATAAAATACTATATATGTATATATATATTATATTTTGTATCAGGTCATATATAGAACCAGATGTGTATTATAATTATTATAAATAATCTTGTATTAATATTACTTGCTGTCTTTTGTGGATGAAATTATAAAAATGGCAACCATTAAATATTTCAAGTATTATAGGACCGAGCCGATTTTTCCTGAAACATAAAAAAAATGTTGGCATGAGTACGACAAATAAAAACAAATTATATATAAATATATATAATATTTTCAAAAGAAACGCTCAATCGTGGGACCACGGTTATTATCATAGTCGTTGGTCTCTTTGGGTTTACATCACAATAAATAATATAAAAATCATTCGACCGTATTATAATCGGATAGAGGATTAAACGCAATAACCTTCTTTCCGATTAGAACATAAAGAAAGCAAAACAGATCAAAACAACAACAAAAAACATATAGATCGGCCGGAGATATGATGATCAAGCGGGCGTGGGGTGCACGCGCCGCCCCTTGTCATGATGGTCGTTGGTCTCTTTGGGACTAGAGGAGGAGGAGGAGGAGGAGGATGAGCCGCCGGAAAAGATGGCTTCGACGACCATCCTCTTCACCAGTTTCCTCTCTTTCGGTATCACGCTTCCCTCTTTCTTCGAAAATGGCCTCGGCCCCTGCTTCCCCCCGGCCGACCCTTCCTCTCCGCCCGAGCTCATCTCTTCACCCTTTGTGTGTGTGTATATATATCTATGTATGTATGTGTGTATGTATGTATGTATGTATGTGTGTATGTATGTATGTATGTATGTGTGTGTGTGTGTGTGATACAACGCAGAGAATGTGAAGGCAAATTTATAGAGAAGGTGGAGGAGCCGAAGAAGAGAAGCCACTGCTTAAAAACTTATGTGCAAAGGTGCCCATTTCATGTCTCAGCTTCAAGTCAAACCTCGGAAACTTCGCGTTTAAGCTCTCCTAATTTATTATTATTATTTTTTTTTACAAAAATTATTTTTATTTTTTATTTTTTAGTCCGAAGGGGCATCATCACATATGTGTGCTTTTAAGTTTTAATGTCTTCCACATAAATATACCAAATATCATATATCATATATTAATTAATTCCGATTAACCTGCAGTATATAATATTAGTACATATTCAACCAAATTATCATATATTATTAATTATTAGTATCTTGATGACTTTTCTTTGTATCTTTCATATTTCATTTCACTTATTTTTAAGGATTGTCGCTACGTGTAAACCATTGTACGTAGGATCACTCAGTAATGTATTACTATTAATCCTAATATGATATTAGAACTGCAAAAAAAAAACCCATAGGAATACTAATAATCTTGATAGTTATCCTATTACGTACTTTTTTTTATAACCGAATATTTTGGACCGAGTTCTAGACTAATATCGAGATTCTATTATTACGTACTTAGTATCGATCTAAATACAATTCTCTCGTGAACATGTCATTAATGGACATGAATTGAAAGGAACTATGTTACATTCATTTACATTATTTTTCCTATCATATGGCAAAACAAAACCAAGATATATATATATACACATATATATTAGTTTATTTTCTGATCGATAGAAATTAAATACCAAATATAGATGATCTATAGAGCCTACACAACCATATATTCTTTTTGGTT